ACTTACGGGGAGGCTGATGCTGTTCCAAGGCACTTTAAAATAATGAGAGTTTTTCATAGCCAAAAATATTTGTCTGGGTGTAGCCTATATATCTGTATCCTTTCCGTGCGCATTGTGTCAGCGTCTGAGACCAAGTCCTGCCGGTAAAACTCCAGGAGTCGGGGCGAGTGGTTGGTGTTGGTGTTGGTGTTCAGGTTAAATCCCCTCCCAGAGGAGTGCTCGCTGCTCTGTGTCCTCTGCCTGACACCGACCACTTCTCCTTTCCATACCCACCACATTTCCCCACTCGGCCAGTGTCGACCGCTGACTGCCTACCGTTTTTACCTCTGTTCTATTTAATAGCACTAGAAATGTCTTTATGCTGCTCTCCCCGTCTGTGTGAGCCTCCAGAGACTTCCATCTGAGTCTCATGCTACAAGCAAAGTATCAATGAGCAGTTTTGTTGGAGAGGGGAGAGCAGGGCAAGCGTGTCCCTAGAGGTCTGAGACACTGAGTACAGCTAAAAGCAAAGCAGATGGGCTGGTCTGATGTTTGGGTGATGCTTTTTGTTAGGCCATCACAGTTGCTGACTGCCAAGTAAAAATATGCCTGACATGAGACGTACTTAGGTATCCTTAATCTGACCACAGTCACTTGTTATTTGACACCACAAATAATAATGAGAAAATCTGCCATAAATTGACACAGCAAGTATCTTAAGCATTTGCATAAAAATGTTTTGGGCTGCTCTACATTCTTCAGATTATTTGAGGCAATCTATTTGCGGGTGTCTGTCAAGCACCAGCACTTGCTCCTACTTTCACCTTGCGTTTCATGTTCTCCTCACCCTACAGGCAGCCAGATGGTTGAACGTAAGCCAAAACTAAGAAGGATTCCCTCTTTTCTTTTGAAGGGACTGGTGTTCAGAGGTGTATCAGTAATACAGTTGTACTTAATCAGATAAAGTCTGTCCTGTGTAACTAAGAAGGCCCACAGCATGTTGCTAGCATAAGCAGCTACTCTAGCGAAGTCTCACTTGAGTTGCCATTTTGCAGTCCGCGTCAAACCATGCTTTATGGTTCTTTTGACTTACCGTTATTAGGCAGTTGTCCTAAAATGCCAATAATGCAGGGATTTTGCATACTGTCATTTCATAGGAATCGTTTAGAAATTATGATCACTACATAACTATTTGGAACAAGACTGTCACCCTGTGCCACATGTAAAATGTTAGTATTAAAAGGGAATGACTGGGCTCATCATAGACCTAATTAGTTCTTTAGAGGATCTGCTTTGTACAGTAGCCTGTGCTGTCCGTATTGATGGTAATGTATTATATAATCAGCTTTAGAAAATGCAGCAGTCTGAAAGCTGGTTTCTGTGTCCCTGTGCTCGTTCACTACCCTAAAGAGAATATTGAAAACCAGCAGAATTTTACTAAACTAGGCATTTCTGCTGCAGGTTTTTTTTTGGGGGGGGGTAGCAGAGCAATTAATTACCTTCAAATTAACCTTGTCTGCAAACAGCGCTCTGCACACACTTTGTTATTGAGAGAGATATATATATCGTAGAGATTTTAAAAAATTGAGTTAAATGTTCCCTTTTGCTGTTCAAATTGGGTGATGAAGTAATGGAACATGCTATTTTGACAGTTTGGAACATGCCCCAGGAGTTGATTAAATGATCTCTCTTACTCTGTATGTGAATTGTGTTTCCAGGCAAACATCAGAAGTACTGGAGCTGCCAATGCAAGCCTGCAGTATCTGCTCTATCCCTGTATGGCAGAGCACATAATTTACTACCTGTTTGAACACTGAACCTATCTTGACAATTACAGTTTGTCACCAGAAATAAGTCTCCTACAAAACTTAGCAGTGGCTGAAGTGAAATGGCTACTGTGAACTCAGGGTATTTTAGGATCACTTTGAGACCTTTTAGAAATCTAAGACCAGAATTTGAGGTTTCGTGTTTTTCTTTCTCCAAGTCACAACCCCTTCTGCAAGCTCCAGTGCTTGAACACATCATCCTGACCAGCATCTTCACCTGGATTTCCCAAGGAGAGGTTTGCCATCTTCTCTCAAAAGTGGTAACAGGAAGAAGAAATCAACTGCTGTTTGTTATTCCTCAAATCTTTGGGAGGCAGGACCCTGACAGCAATTTCATCATCTCATTCATGCCTTAGGTGAGCTATGTGGTTGATAGAATTTGTCGTGTTTCCCCACAGTAGGAGGGACACTGCTTTAGTCATTCTGTACTATAGTTGTAAGGTCAATCTGATGTATTTAGATCAATGAACCACACAGTAAAGATAATGTTGTCTAAAGGAAACACAACAAAATATCCTGCAAGATTAATACATGAGATGAGAAATCCAATTAGAGCACACATCCTGCTGCTTCTATCATTAGGGGTAAGATACCCACAATTAAGTCATGTATGTTATGTTAGTAACTAGAGGTGGGAGCAGGCTACATCTGATAAATTAGTTCCAATTCTTGGTTATGGATAGTTCAGTTCAACAACAGATGAAAACAAAGTTCCCAAATCAGAAAAGAATCAGATCTGTATGTGTTCAAAGGAGGTAGAATCCAGGTATTGCTTGACATCGCAGCCATTTGTCTCACAGACGCCAAAACAGAGATGAACAGCACTCTGTAGGTTTGACACTTTTATTAACAAAGAACCCATGGGGCTCATTCATTAGTACAAAATACAATCATGTTCCTGTATGTTAAACAGCATGGTTTGGTTTTTTTTAAATTTTTTTTTTATTTTGTCTCTTTTAAACTGTTTCACAGTTATCAAAACAAAGCCCCTGCATATTGAACTTATTATTGTGCAAACAGTAATTATTTTAAGGATCAATTTCTGCACTAAGCCAAGTGTCAGAGAGCAGAATTTAATCTTATTTTCACCCCTCCTCTGAAGGGCCATGTGTGCTTCCTAAGAAACACATTCTAGTTGTCTTTTTTGCAGCAAACAATCTAAGGCCACAGTTTATCTGCAAATAATAAAAAACAACTCAAAGATTTTTAGGAGGAAAAAAAAAAAAAGCACATCTTTACCCTTCATGCTCTTGTTTGCTTGACCATGTTTATACCAGGTAGCACACATCACCTATCAGGTATTACAGTCCAAAAAAAGCACCTAATGTTCTTTAAGCTAATATTTTGAATTATTAACATGCAAGTTAATACACAGCCACATTACTTTTCAAGTAACTATAATGGTATCTGTTTAAGGAAAATACGCTTGTTCCCTTTCCAGGTGATGTGAATGAAAATCCTGCATTGATTGTATGGGCACACCATCACTTAAATAAAAAGGCATGAGAGCTACATCTTGAGACTTAAGATAAATACTACTTTTTTAGAAGGTCTTTTCTAAAACATGCCCTCAAATTTTGGTTAGAGCTGCATTTGCTATAGAAGACAATACTTAAAGTTGCAAATGAAAAAAAAATAACTGCAGTTTGGAAACGTGAATCTCAATCAGTATGTATCTTACACTGATGTAAAAGTGACTTGAGGTGAAGTGCTAGAAATTAGACAATGTAAGGAAGTCATACTAAACCAAGACTAAAAATATATATCCGTGTATGCCTGTAGAAAAATCCCTGCTTCTTAAATGAAGACAGATTTCATAAAAAAAACATTTAAACTTTTTTAAACTGCAGTTATTGATGAAATGAAGGAAACTCAATTACTGTTCTTGTAGTCAGCAAGTACAATGTATTACCACATGAAGCACCGGGTTTAACCCCAAACTGTTCTGTAAGACATATGGAGTAGTTCTAGTAGTTCAAAATCCCCTCGGCTGTAAACATGCATATTGAGAATGCTGTGGTTTTGCTCCTTTAAGTGATCTGTTGATGGTGTCTTATTCCAATTGATGCTTGGCAGGAAGCAAACATTCTACTTTAAATGAAGGCAGCAGAAGGGCCAAGTAAAATGCTCTGCCTTCACTTTTAGCAGCAACAAACTCACTGTTCTAAATGACCTGAGGAAGAAAACATTAAAATATTGCACCAAAACAAAATTAAACAGCAAAACACACACAAGGAAACACACTAACAAAAAATAGTATGGATAGTAAATGACCAGTGCAGCCCCTGACAATAGATTTCTAGACAAAAATGCAGGAGTAATGAAAAGCTTTGTGCCATTACCAGAGGATTTCGTTCCCCTGACGTCTGCTTTCACTTCACTTATAAGCTATGTCTATTCTGGGTATATTTACACCTCTCCCTACACCTCCTATCTCATTCACTAACCACAGAAACCATTTAGGGTCCCTTTTAGAACCTTAAAGTATACTGGAGCTTTAACAAGACTTTTTTGGTCTCAGATCTGACCATAAGTAAATATCCAAAACAGAGGTAGGCTTATAAAGGCTTCTGAATAAATAAGTATTGTCCGTGTTGCTAAGTATACCTGCTGTTGGCAAAAGGATTCTCCCTTGCCATGCTTCCTCTTACCATGCTATCCATAGGCTTAAGATGCAGAAAAAAACTCACAGTAGAAGAGGCTAGAATAATTCCCTTAAGAAATTCGTTGAAAGAAAGCATAGTGCATAAGCTCTTATAAAAGTTCAATTTTCTTTTACATACTTGTGTCTTTCATTCAGTAAATGGTTGCCTTCATAATATTGCGTAATAGCTATTCTGTCATCCATGATGTCTTTAGAATCATTATGAATGATGAAATAGTACCACTTGGCAGTTGTTAGAAGGGCAGGTTCTCATGAAATACAAAGTTAAGCTAGAGTGAAGACTTCACTCCACATTTTAGTAGTGTTCTTTTCTTGGATGCAGACAGTGCAAAACTGAAGCTCCTTGAACACTGGAATCTTTTGGAAATGTTTTCTTAACCCCACATTCTGTTCTTCTACGCAAGTTCTACTGCGGGAAGTTCTCAACATCATTAGTAAATTCTTCCACAGTGTTCCAAACAAAATATAAATTCTTTTCTCTTCAGCAGATCCTTACATCTCCTCCTCGTACTTTATGTAGTATATCCACTTTTTAGAAAGCATTCAGTATTTTCAGGTACTTCTCAAGTATCCCAAGCATAGCTGCTCCCACAATATCCTCTGTGCAGACTAATCCAGCAGATTCTCTTCCATCACCAAACATGCTCATACCTCCCTCTCCGTTTTCCTTTGCCTTTCTTGTACACAAACTTAAGTTTTGAAAAAGAAAACTGTTTTCTTTGTAGCTGCGCTATCAGCTTAAGCAGCAGAAAGATTTAAGACATTCATCACAATGATGCTCATTACAAATCCTCTTCAGAGCATGAATGAAACAGGCTGAATTTCTTCTACATCAGTTGGATGTGGATCGATCTACAGAGATAAGAAAGGCAACAATTACTGCCTGTAATTCTTGCATTTCTGTATGTGGGGTTATTTTGCCATCTGACAAAAAAAACCACCACCCACTGTTTATTTTTTTACCTCTGAATAAAGAGGTGGAGGCTGAAACCGGAACTCTTGTATGTAAGCAAAGACAGGACAACACAATTGTTCCTCGCAGTCAATTGGTGGTGGATAAGCAGGAACATGTCTGGAGAACTCTTCCTCAGACACTACATCAGCATAATTTGGTGGTGCTGAAATACAAGAGATGTCACTGTCAAATTTTTGAACTATTCACTCACAGCAAGACAACACAGTATGCAAAACCATGAAGACTATTGACAATAGTACAATGTTTTTTATTATTGTATGAAGTTCACTATACTCATAAATACTATAACTGGAATTATGTTTTTAGTCAGCTTAGGTGATTCATCAGGAACACTACAGATGCTTTTAGGGCTATTCCAACAACAAACTTGGGTTGTATCAAGATATATTTAGTAACGATTTTAAGGTGTCTACCTCCAAAGCAGAATCCCCACTATCTATTTCAAGATTCAGCTGAAAAGAGTCAGATAGTAGAGAGAGACTTAAAGGCTGGAGTTAGGGTATCCTCACCAATGCTTTTGGATCTTGACTTAGATTTCTGTGCCTCACTTCTCATGAGTCATAGTTTAATGGCCTGCATCCCTAGTAGTGCCCTTCAACTGGCACTACTATCCTTCTGTTGTAGACAGTATTATGCTGTATTACAAGGAGTTCAATATGTATTACCTTCAGGGTGTTCTGGCATGGTCAGTGCCAGCCAACTCATATCCATACTGAACTGGCTGGTAATGCTGGAGTTTCTGCTTGAAAATCCAATACATGGAATAGTGCCAATCACCAGAGGCATTTCAATCATCAATTTCTTAGCACCAGGAATATGAATATACACCTATGTGACAGCCCCCAAATAAAAGAAAAAAACAACATGAGACCCCATCAAATTGCTGCTCCTAGAAGGTACCCTACTCCCTATACTGCAGATTGTTTAAAAATTAGGAGTTTTCTCATTCCAGAGATGTTTAGCTAATAGTCTGTCAGCTTTCCTTATTTTCCAGGAACTTCCTTCTTTCTGTACCTTGTCTCTAGATTACATTAAACAAATACAGAACAGGTTGGCAAAAATAATTATGCACTTTCAGTCCTACCTTCCCATTTCTGGAAAGAATCACTAGAGGAACCCATTCAGCTTGAACTACCTTCCCCTAAAAACCTCTGCAGGTCTGAAACATAAGCTGCTTCTTCCTCAGCAACATTTTTCCATTCTCCCCATTATTCCTCTTTCCATTGCAAAATCTCTTCATGATCTTCAGTCTCTCACCTATATGGTGTATGGTATTGTTGTTCCCAAATTAAAAATCTAACAGGTGCTCAGTAGAGAAAATTATTCTGTTCCCAACTCAATGTAGTATTCAAGAATATGTATGTTTGTAATAAAAATCCATACTTACAGCTAATGAATATTCTACTCTAATAATACAGCAGTCAAGTATAGAGGGGGATACAGGTGGGATTTTCAGAGTTTTCCCATTCCAGGTATCTGTACTCCCAGAGGCAATATGGTTTCCTCGGACATTGGCAACCATCTGACGGAAAGTTTTTGTCTTCCCACTGGCCAGGTAAGTTTGTGTTTGGAAAATGGCAGCTTTTGGAACAATCAAACGAGAAGAGCAGTTCTCAATTTCTGCATAGATTGGTATGGCTTCCCCTTAAAGACAGAAAAAGTTCAATGAATAACTTGTATTTACCAACTTTCCTCTGGAACTATCAAAGCACACAAATCATCTGCAATGGTTTGAGAACAACACTTGTTAGTTTCCTCAAGCTAGATTTTTTTTTTTTTTTTTGCAGAGTGGTATCCAGGCAGAATTACAGCCACCTACTACATTTCACATATAAACAATGATTCATTTTGAAACATTAAGCATAATATGAATGAGCTGTAAAAGCTTTATTTGCAAATTACACACCAATCTCCCTTTTATATAGTACTAACTGAATTTCAGAATGTTTTCTTTTATTTCCTCAATGTATCTAATGTTATCAAGATGACAAAGAAGCTGCTAAAAGCTTTCTTACGGAAGTGTAAACCTACAAAAACAGGACATAAAAACCTGATTACATCCCCAATTAAGTATTTTATCCCAAATAAAAGCATTTTGTTGTTGTTTACACTCAAATGTAAACGGCCTTTCCATGAGATTACTGACTAACAGGATTTCCTTTCAATTTATATTCCCAAGTGGGGGGTGAGGGGAAAGGCAAGATGATTTTTGTTAAAGCAAGTTCATGTAGATCTCAATTTACTACCTACTAAACTAAACTGTTCTTTCAACTATAAAGTGTTGGCTTCATAGAGATGAGAAAAACCCTATTAGGTGTTTAATATTCACATGTTGAAGATAACTACTCTTACCATTACAGTATCCCTTCCTCTCAATTTTGGCACTGAGAGACACTGGCCCAGAGGTGAAAAACCAACAGCCAACCATCTTCTCCTGACTTCTTAGAACAGGTGTCTATAAAATATAGAGCATTTTTCATTTTATGGCATAAAGCTTTCAATCACTTGCAGTTTAATGTTATACATATCCGTCATTGCAATCTAGCTCTAAAATCCACTTGATTTGAATCACTGTACTATTCAGTGCAGCTGGAGTTTTTTGCCACCATGTAAAATGGAACCAAAGTTTGACTACCTGAAGGTATGGCTGGTTTAATATCCCAGTCTGCATTTAGACTGTATCAACTAGGTAACACAGAGACCAATGTGCATTTGAACGTAATCAGTCTTCAAAAAGATTCATTTTGCAAATTTTACAGACTTTTTAAAGGTCTAATGAGGTACTGTGGTATTTATGCCCATGTTCCTCAGTGCAGAAGAATGCAGAATTAATTTCATCTGCAAACAACTAATAGTTAAGCAGGTAAACTGTTTTTACCCTTGTATCCTTCATAAGAAAGGATAAAAGTATACACACTGGGCTAAGAGGATGCATCTTCCTAACTTGCAAGCCATGCAACCCCCCAAAAATTCTGCCTTGTGAGAAAAACCATCTTAATTCTCCATAGAGGACTGTCACATTAGATGACATTTACACAGTCTGTAGAATTTTCATTAGAATAAACTTACAACATAGAAGTACACATGTCAAGGGTCCAAGCCAGGATTCAGGCTACTTACAATTATTTACTGGGCACTATTTATGTGCCCCACAGCCCTCTCCTGTGCAATAACCTATGGTCTACTTTATCCTTGCAGTATCTGGAGATGCTGTCTTCATACTCCTAACCCACATTGTTGAATATAAAGACTATATTCTGCTTACAGAAGTGACTGCCAAAATACTTCTCCAAGTTGTCTCTAAAGATTAAAATCTAAGCATATAAAGAGGAAAAAACCCCTACCCTGCTCAAAACATCTCTTAGCTACGTTCACATCATGATGAAATGTTAAAATTATCCTAGTATTTTAAATAAAGTAGAAATTACTCATTCATATTTAAATGAATAACCATTTAGATCCAGTTGCTATCATGAAAGTGTAAGGTATCATTTTATATTATTTTCATAATTTGGGTTGAGATAAAAGAATCCAGCTCATTAGCTTCCATCTTGCCTATTTTCTCATTACTTAATGCCTGATCTTTCTTATTACTCTACAGTATTTCTAGTGATTATTAGAAACTCAATGCTTTAATGTGGCCAAATCTGTCATAAGGAAATAACTGAAAAGATCTCTGAAGCAGCTGCATGCACGCACTTAATGTTAGAAAACGACATGCAAAATGGAAGGATACGTAACATAATGGCCAGAGCATAAATGACAGGCTGGGCATGATTAATACTCTTCCATAATTACTGTTCCTCAACCTACTATTATTGTAGTAGTTTAGGACACTGTAGCCCTGTGAATGTAGTTGCTCTGGTAAGAGTAACTACTTTATGCTTGTGCATGATTATTATTAAGCCTTATTTATGCATCTGAAGCCTGCATAACTTTTTGGCAAGAGCATCTCTGCCAGCAGGGATGTAATCAATGGTATTAAAAAAAGCCACTCTGTTTGCTATTCACACAACCTAAGATCATCTATTTATAGAGAAGAGCTTAGGGAGCTTATATGCTTTCAGAAGTCAGAAAATGGCACTCCAGAATAACATGGAAATGGTTATGGCTGGATGTGAATGCTTCTTGGAAGTGATTTTGTTTGCAGCTGGCTTGAAAGGGGGGAGGAGGAGTGGAGGATTCTTACCAATAGAGCTGGCGAGCTGACATCGATATGGCTAACCACCTGAAGCTCTGTCTGTACACTTTGATCAGGTGCTGCAGGCCTCTCCAGAATTGCTTTCACGTAGTACTGAACACTGCCGTACTTCCCAGTAAAAGACGTCACCAGAGGTCTGAAACAAGCGGTCATAAAATCATTACCATGAGTTTATAATTTGGTTCCAAACGCGAAAGCCTCCTGCGTTCACCAATTTACAGCTTGTACTTTTAGGGCCTTAGGGAAAATGAAGCAAACAAGGCATATTTATGTGGCGGTTGATTTAAGACAAACATATAAAACTGACCTATCAGTCTGATATTAAAAAAACAAAACAAAACACAAGTCAAATTACATGAAGTTAATGTTCCGCAACAAGTAGTGCCCAGCCCAATCCCTTCAGGTTGGATTATTTAACTTACTCTTGAGGGAGTTGAAAGCTGAACGGAAATTCATGTCTTCCATCTAGAAGAATTAAGCTTTCCTCACCTGTAGGATAAAAATGAATAGTATGTTTTAGTTATTCCATAAATAGAAGAACAAAGCAAACGCTTTTATAAATTATTTATGTATAAAAACACCCAGATGCAAGGGACCAGAAGAAGTTTTTATTGATCCCTGTGGGTTCTGGATTGGAGCCCATGCTTTATTTATGCTGTGATGTGATTTCAATGAAAAAAATCAAGGAAACATGGAGACCTTGAGTTTCAGTTCAGGACTCTGGCCAATTTCTAATCCAAAATGGCTTCGGGAAAGCATAAAGTAAGTTTCTTTTCCTTTTCAGCCAGACAGCAATTAATCTACTTTTCAATTTTCAATTAACAACTACAACGAACTTCTGTGCTAAAAAGCTCCAATTTAAGGTCAGTGTTATGAAATACTATTAATATATGTAATCTTAATACATTCATGGAGGGCCTACTATTAGACAGTTTTTAAAGCCCTAAATTTACTTTTCCTACAGATAAACTTGAGAAGCATTTCACCCTTACAGAACAAAATGCCATTCCTCTTGAGTGTTTCAATACTGCCATAGCGCTGCACTGTCCGAGTGACAAAACCACCAGGCAGAGACCTATGCAACAAAGAGCTTGCTCTGCTTTCTTAAGCCGTTGCAGAAGGAGGCCGATTGCTTCCAGTGTCTTCCACAGGCAGCTTCCCAGGTGCTGCTTCCAGGGCACAACGAACACGCGGGTGCCCGACGTAACCCATAGGAGAGCTAACCTCTGCAGGAAACCAACGCAGAGTGTAGGAAACTGAAGAGCCACAGACTTTCTTCTGGCCACGCTCCGCATTTTTCAGCCGTTTACACACAGAATCGAGTGGCCACTTGATGAAGCTGTAGCAAGCCTCCCCTGGGCATGCAGGGGAAGGCTGTGGCTACACCAGCCAGAGGTTTCCAGTGCGGGGCAGATGTCCCCGCTGGCCGGGCACCCACCCGGGCCTCACGCCGTTTCTCAGCATCCCATGCCGATTTCTCCTCGGCGAAGGGTTTCAACCCTCAGCCTTTCCCCTCTCTGGAAAACGCAGGCGTGGGCGCCTTCCTGCGGCGGGGAGCCCTGGGGGCCCCTCCGCCACCCCGGGGAGCAGGGAGAGGGACTTGGCCTCAGAGCCCTACCC